AAGGAGAGGGAGGGAAACATCGATGTGTGAGAGATACATCCATCAGTTGCTTCTCCCACACCCCCAACTGAGGACCTGGCCCACAAACCAGGCATGTGCCCTAACCTGGAATTGAACCATTGAACCTTTGGTTCACAGGCTGGCACTCAGTCAGTAGCTTGTCTTTTCATTTTCTTCATCCTTTCCATTCTCTGGTCTTTTTCAGAGCAAGTCTTCAATGTTTGACAAGGTCCAATTTATCAATGTTTCCTATTATGGATTATGCTTTTGATGTCTTGTCCAAAAACTTTGTGATCTCCAATTCTGTAACACCAAATGAAAGTACAGCAATTCAATTCTGACTTTAACATCACATCCAACAAGTTAAAGGGCTCAGTCCCACAAGACTGCCCCCACTTCAGACACCAGTCACAAGCTCTGGGCCACACATACTTCTGATTTACTGGCTATAAGTTATTGGTTCCCATGACCCCTTTCTCAGTTCCATTAACTTGCTAGAATAGCTCACAGAACTCAGGAAAACACTTATGTTTATCAGTTTATTATAAAGGATACAATTCAAGAACAGCCAGGTGAAAGAGATGCATAGGACAAGGTATGAGGGGAGTGGTACAGAGCATCCATGCACTTTCTCGGCATGGTTCCCTCACAGCAACTCTAGCAAGTCTATGTGTTCAACCTGGAAGCTTTCTGAACCTTAGTGTTTAGGAATTTTTATGAAGATTTTTTAATGTGGAAGTTCCATTATGTAGGCATGATTGATTAAATCCTTGGCCATTGGTGATTAAACTCAATCTGTAGTCCTTCTCCCCTCCCAAAGAGGAAGGTGGGGGCATGGGATAGGGAGAAAGGAAGCTGAAAATTGCAACCCTCTAATCCAGCCCTCTAATTACAGGATTGGTTCTTTGGCAACCAGCCCCCATCCCTGAAATTATCCAGGAGCTCCCTAAGAGTCATTTTATCAGCATAAACTCAGACAAGGTAGAAAGGGGCTTGTGAGGAATAACAAACTGACAAGTGCTCTTATCACTCAGGAAATTCCAGGGATTATAGGAGATCTGTGCCAGGAACCAGGGACAAAGACTAAATCTATATTTCTTATATACTACACTCTGTCTAGCCCTGGATCCTTAAGATTTTCTTCCATGTTTTTTCTCTAAAAATAGTTTTACACTTTACATTTAAGTCTGTGATCCATTTTGAGTTCATTTTTGTGTAAAGGAGTGAGATTTAGGTTGAGGTTCTTTTTTAAAACTTATGTTTTATTAAATATAGTTGACACACAATGTTTTTACTTTTAGTACAATATAGTGATTCATCATTTATATACCTTATAGTGTGATCACCACAATAAGTCTAGTACCCATTTGTAACCATACAAAATTATTATAATAGGCTCTGGCTGGTATAGTTCAGTGGATTGAGTGCAGGCTCCAAACCAAAGGGTTGTTGGTTCAATTCCCAGTCAAGGCACATGCCTGAGTTGCAGGCCAGGTCTCCAGTGAGGGCCATGTGAAAGGCAACCACACATTAATGTTGCTCTCCTCACTCCCTCCCCTCCCCTCTCTCTAAAAATAAATAAAATCTTAAAAAAACAAAATTATTGCAATATTTTTGACTATTTTCCCATATATATTACATTTCCATTACTTATTTATTTCATAGCTGTAAGTTTGTACCTCTTATTTCCCTTCACTTTTTCATTCCAACCCCCAGGTTGAAGTTCTTTTTGCCTATGAACGTACAGTTGTTCCAGCATCATTGAATTGTTTTGCACCTTTGTCAAAAACCAGTTGGACATACTTATGTGGGGCTATTTCTGGATCCTGTATTCTATTACATTGATCTATGTGTCTATCCCTCCACCAAAACCACAGTCTTGATTGCTGTACCTATACAGTCAACTTTAATATTGATTAGAGTGATTCTCTCACTTTATTCTTCTTCGTCTAGACTGGTTTAGCTGTTCTAGAGGCTGTGCTTTTCTATATAAATTTTAGAATATGCTTGTCTGTGGATGTTGAACATATTCTTATGTGTTTTTTGCCCTTCTATACCCTCTTGTGTGAAATGCCTATTTATGTATTTAGCTCATTTTGTAATCAGACTGTTTCTTCAATGTGAGTTTTGAGACTGTATAATTTTTTATATATTGCTGAATTATATTTGCTAATATTTTGTTAAGAATTTTTGCATCTGCATTCACGAGTGATGTTGGTCTCTAGTTTTCTTTCTTTCTTTCTTTCTTTCTTTCTTTCTTTCTTGTGCTATTTTTGTCTAGTTTTGGTATCAGACTTCATGGAATGAGTTAGGAAGAATATCCTCTTCATTTAACTCAGTAGGTTTTCCTAGGATATGAAAAAATTTCCACTTAGGAATAGCAATAATCTTATTTATTCCAAATGCTCAATTACATTATTTTTTTACTCAGATATAACTGTATATTAACTGTAAGGATTATTTCTCAAAACTGCTTTCCTCTGAATTTGAGATTTCTGCAACTGTTACCGAATAGCAAGTGGGGTCCTGCTGCCTGCTACCACCATCTAGGCAAGATTCCAGAGGCAAAGGTTTGGTGATAAAGGGAAGGAATCTTTATTCCAGGGGTGTCCAATCTGTGCCAGGATGGCTGTGAATGTGGCCCAACACAAAATCATAAATTTACTTAAAATGTCATGAGCTTTTTTTGTGATTATGTGTCACAATGTATTTAATGTGTGGCCCAAGACAACTCTTTCCAGTGTGAAGTGGAGATGCCAAAAGGTTGGACACCCCTGCAAAACCATCACTTTAGCCTATCAAGTCACAGCTTTAATAATTTAAACCTATCAATTAAGGCTAAACTCTAACACCAGGGTTCTCCTAGCATTCTCCATGTTTTTGGTTATCTTATTTCTACAGGGTTAGTTCACAAACTAAAACAATATAATACACACAAGCTACACAACATTGGAAGAATGGCAGGCTTCTACCTCAGAGCCTGTTACCTCTAGAACAAACAAAGAATAACCCTGCCACCCTCTGCCAGGCCAGCCTGATCTTAGGCTGTGTCCAGAGTTCCTTACTATCCAAAATACCGTCTGCTGGAAAATGCCAGCAGCTGCAGCACAATGCTTGAGGAAGAAAAGCCTGAGAGCCAGAGAGCCAGTGCCAGCCCAAGACCGCTTCTTTTATTTCAAATCTTCTCACCCATAATTCCATGTGATCTGGAGTCATTCAGCTTCTCAGCCAGTCCTGTTCTAGGCTACTTACTATTGCCTTGGGCATCCTCCTCCTATGACTCCCAAGTGATCTGATCAGATTTCTCTGTATCATAACTATTTCATTTATAATTATTTAGACTATTCCCCTGAGTATTTTCCTGAGATAGGAATATTAGCATATTATGCTCTAAATTCTTTTATGTCTAAAATTGTCTGTCTTTTGCTCTGACAGAAAAATGGTTTTGAGCAAGGGTGGGTTTTAAATTCTGGGATCTCAGTCACTTTCAATAATATGTTTTCTTCTATACAGCTTCTATTGTTGCAAATAAGGAGTCTAGTGCCATTGTGATTCCTTCCCATTGTAAAGAACATGTTGTTTCTACCTGGAAGTGTTTAAGTTTTCTTTTCATCCTTTAAATTCAATGCTAAATCCTTTTTGGAGTTGATTGGGTTGCTCTGGGAGTCAAGGAATGAGGTATTTCAGTGAGGGAGGATCAATGATTTAGGGTCCAATAGGATTAGATAATTCAGTGTCATTCTTGTTGGGGTAGTGAGTGACAGTCTTGTGGAAACCTTTAAGGAAAATAATTGAGACATCTGTGGATAAGTGATTGAAACCTCTGTGGAAATTCTTAAAGTTTAATAAGAGCTGGAGATCTAAGTATCTGAAGTCATTAATTGGTCCACGAGAGTTATTGATTGGGACTGAGGTGGTGAATAATTGATTCACCTGGGATTACCAGTCTTTGGAAGTCAGTTTGCAGGGACCTGTAGGAGTCATTGATTAGGACCTGTGGACATCAGTAATTGAAGGATATTTGATAGTTGATATTTGATGGGCCAGGAGGTCTATTACTGAGGATTTTATGGGAGTCACTGATTCTATATATTGGCTATGAGTTATAGGCAGTCAGGTTTGGCCCCCAAGGGGCCTTAAGAAGATCCATGGTTGATTTTCTATTGAGTGTACATTGTCTACGTTGGTGATTATTTGAGGGGCCTAAGGAAACCAGTTGATGTCACCTTTGTGGCATTGTTTTGTCAGACAGTGTCAGTTAATGATTTAGGGACCTGTGCAGACATGTTGGTTTTCAAGGCCCAAATGGGAATTGGGGGAGGCGGCAGGTAATAAGTTTATACTTTCATCTTTGGCATAAGAAGGTGGGCTCTATAAGTTGCTCAGAATGTACATTAAATTATACAGAAGGTTGGTTTATGTACAGTGACATGATCATCCCTCAGTCAAAACATTCTGAAAGCAGCAGCAAACAGAAATAATAATTGTTGTGACTCTGCCTTGTATAAAATACCATACAGCACAGTAGTTAAGAAAATGCACTTTGGAGTCAAGCATACCTGGGTTTGAGTCTTTGTCCTTCCCCCTAATCTGAGTGATCTTGGAGCAAAGTTCTTAAGATTTCCAAATGGCTGTATCTAATGCTGAATAGTAATAATGATGACGATGATGATGATGATAATTCACAGATGAGTGTGAAAATTAAATTAAGTACCTAAAAATATATGCCTGGAACATTATAATAACAATATTTAATATTAATAGAATATGTTCCAGGTGCCAAGTGGGAGTAAATACTTTAGAAGTATCACTTCATTTAACCCTAACAATCATGAGACAGGTATTTTTACCCTGTTTTAAGTGACAAAAAAATTCAGGCAAAAGTGACTTTCCCTAAAGCTGGATTTCAAATTCTCATTTATATTACAACAAATCTCATGAGTTTTTCCCATATTTGATGCTAATACTTGTTTGTTTTACTGGACTTTTCTCTTCCACAGTATCCAGCACAGTAAGCCATCTCTTGGTGCCCCCAGGAAGCATTTCTGGGGTGAATGTGGAATGACTGACCATGTGGACACTGTCCAGATTTCTTGGAATCTCTGTGGAGTCCGAGGACCACACCTCATAGTGAAGGCTGCAGGATCTCCTTCTAGCCCCAGCAGCTCTGGCTGAGTCCACAGATGCCCTCCTGACTTCAAGCTCCTGGCAGGAGCTGAGTTGTCAGCAAGAGCCCCAGGGCTGAGGCTCAGCAGGAACATGCCAACCAACCAGAATTCTCCCCCATGGACCACGGCCCTGGCTGCAGAGGGACATGGCAGGTTGAGTGAGGTGAGAAGGGAGATGTCTCCAGGGTAGGAATTCATTCAGTAAGGAGATAGTCTCAACCTATCATGGGGCCTCAGAGAAGGGGCAGGTGGGTCACCTGGCAGCATATTTCAGATTCACTGACCCTGAGACAGATCACTATCTTCTTGCTGAGAGTGAGTACCACATGGCTCATGTCCTGCATCTGGAGTCCTGTGTGTTTCAGTGGAAAATGTGATATGGCTGATGGAGGAAAGGTGGGACAGGAGGGTCAGCATGATACCTGGAAGAGAGGGCCAGTTCTCTTGCAGGTTGCAGGCATGTATGTGTGGGGATGGTCGCTGGCTGTAACCAGGGAGATGTTACATCTTGGACCCCAGCATAGGCCCTTTACTCTCCACTGGCTCTTTGCAGATGCATAGCCAATCCCCGCTGGAGCCTTCTTTCCACCATGGTCTCTGGGGATTTGCTGATTTCTCCTCTATCATGATCTAAGATAGAAAAATCCCTCTTCTTTGGAACTTAGAGGATTGTGGGATAGTGGGGCGACCACAGTCTTTAGGGCCTTTCTAGTTCTTCCTCCTTTCTAAGGTAAACAAAATAGCCTGAGAATGGACATGACTTTCCCTGGTGGCTCAGATTGTAAATGATAGTACTGGACTGCAACCCAGTTTCCTGAAGATGTCTTCTGCTCTTGCCACATTGCAGCCCAGACCAAGTATCCCACTAAAAGCTCCCCTGGAGAGGCTGTAAACAGAGGAAAATGATGAGAGAGCCAGACTCTACCAGACAGCTCCCTCCTACAGATCTTCTTATGGATGCTGTCACCTATGGAACAGGCTCATTGTCACAGGGGCTGTTGGTCATCGGGTCATTAGGATAATATTGAACTTCTTAAAAAATATTTTATTTATTCATTTTTAGAGAGAGGGGAAGAGAAGGAGAAAGAGAGGGAGAGAAACATCAATGTATGGTTGTCTCTTGTGCACCCCACACTGGGGACCTGGCCCACAACCCAGGCATATGCCCCAACTGGAAATTGAACCAGCAATCCCCTGGTTCGAAGCCCACACTCAATCCACTGAGCTACACCAGTCAGGACGGATAATATAAAACTTTAAAAATTTATTTTTTTTATTATTTCATAATTTTACTATTTCACAATAAAATGTTAGAATACACAGGTAAGCAAATAAAAGAGAATAAAACATTATTTGTAATTCCAGCATTACCCAAAATGAACTAGTGTTAACATTTAGCTATATTTTCTTTCAGTTGTTTTTAATTTGTATGTGCATTGGTGCATGTATAGGGGTATAGTTTGGGGCTGTGAGTATGCATATATACCGTATACATATATATTATATAGCTCAAGTTTGAAAATGGAACCATAGTATTTGGTGCCTCCTTTTTAACTTGGCAGTTTAACATAATTTTCTAGGCAATAAATATTTTTCTTCATATACACATGATGCATAGCATTATGTCTTTTGGATAAACTATAATTAATTTAACCAATCTATTATATGTACATTTAAAGTGTTTCAGGTTTTCTGTTGTGATTAAAACTGCTGTGTTGAAATTCCTACACTTAAATCTTTTTGCCCAAGTCACTGAAATTATATTTTGAGTCAAAGCTATAATGTCATTGAGTGTTAAACAAAACACTTCTACCCAGTGGAAAATCACCCTTGGCTAGGCTCTGCTCCATCATGGAGTCAGTTACAGGGCCACAGATTGGGGCTACACCAATGTGGTCCTCCCCAGTCCTTCTGGATATGGCCTCTTGCCCAGCTGATGTGAGGGAAATTCTAGGTGAATGATTCTGGGCTCTGCAAGGCACATTTTTCCACTCATATCTTCCTTCCCAACCACAGATCTCTGCCTCTTTTCAAGAAAAGATAGAAATTAGTCCTGGCTGGTGTGGCTCAGTGGATTGAATGCTGGCCTGCAAACCAAAAGGTCACCAGTTCAATTCCCTGTCAGGGCACATGCCTGGATTGCAGGCCAGGCCCCCAGTAGGGGGCATATGAGAGGTAACCACACATTGATGTTTCTCTTCGTCTCTTTCTCCCTCCCTTCCCCTTTCTCTAAAAATAAATAAATAAAATCTTTAAAGAAAAAAGAAATTATCAAGACCCTAGTGAATAGTATTTATTCAGTTATTATGTGTCAGGATCTTGTTTTTTTCATTAGATATCAGGGAGGAGGGAATGGGCACATATACCAAGGAACCAATAAAAATGTCCCCAGGAATAGGGAACAGCTGGTTCGATCAAGAAATAGTGGCTGAAGCCAGAAAATAAGCAGAAGGGGTCAGTAAAAGAAAAGGGTGAGGGATAGCCACAGGGAACAGCTAGAGGGACCAGGGTGCACTTACTGGAGATGAAGTATAGCCAAGGGACCTTGAGGACAGGTAGGAGTGCAATAGAGGAGACAGAAGAAATGGGAAACATAAGTCAGAGGTCGGGGAGCAGCAGAGAGACTAAGAAACAGTTGTCAGAAGTGGTGATAGTGGTGTGCAAGTGAAAGCAAGAGGGTCCAATAACAATTAGGGATCTCAACATAGGAGGAGAGACCAGGAGATGAAGGAACTGAATAGCAGCCAGAGGGAGCCGGGACCATCCAGAGGGATGAAGAAGCAGAAGACTCAGTTAAATAGAAAAAGCAAAAAGGTTCAGTGTGCTGGGTAAGAGCTTGCAGGATAAGCAACTTTGTGTGGTACCAGGGTGTAGAGGAAAATCTGGGGAGATGGGAAATGCAGAGACACCGGGGAATAAGAAATGGAAAGATGAATCTTGGAGCCAGTAGCTGCCAAAGGAAGCATGGACCAGCTGTTGAGGCTGTAGAACAGGTAGAGGAGCAGGGAAGGAAATGACCCATGGGACAGTTGGAGAGGCAGAGAAGGACTTAGAAGGCTGAGGAATAGCTGAAGGCACTAGGGGCCATATGGAACACAGAGCAGCTTCTGAGGTCTAAGACCAGCCAGAGGGAACAGCAAAGGTATGCTGGGTGTCCACCAGAGGTCCCAGACTAACTAGAAGCCTAGGGAATGAGAGACATGACCATTAAAACTGTCTTGTGTGTAATAACACCCTGACTGACTAGACAACTGATAGAAGGACCAGAGAACACACAGAAGGCATAGTATTGGTTCTTGAAGCTAGTTAGCAACCAAAGGCTCCAGGCACCAGGCACTGAAGCTAAGGACAGTAGAATTCAGAAAGAGGCTGGGAATCAGTCAGATGTCCCCAGGATAGGGTGACAGGGGTGTCCTGGGATGGGAGACTTCCAGTGCTAAAATAGGGAAAGTCCTGGGCAAACTGGGACTGTCTGTCACCCTGCCCAAGAAATAGAGTACCCAGCCAATAGTCAGACATAATGTAAGTGATGCAGCAGAAAAAAGTACAGAATCCAGCCATGGCACAGGCCACACAGAAATAGTATAATTTCATGGTCAAGAGCCTAGGAGCCAATTGACCCACACTCCACAAAGTGTGGTCCATGGACCAGAAATAGCAACATCAGTTGAGAATGAATTAGCAATGTATTTAAGAACTGCTGAAGAAGCAAAAAAGAATCTAGACTAAAGAACAGTCAGAGGACTCAAATGGCAGTTAGTCTGTGTCTAGTAGAAGAAGTGAGAAAAGCTCATCAGGACCAGAGAACAGGCAAATGGACCCAATCTAAAGATAGTAGAGGAGTAAGTGGAAATTACACTAACCTCCTCCCAGGACCAATCTGGAATTACAACTATGGTACTTCATTTTGCCATGTTTAATGTGTACCCACATTTTGTGCACATTATTCACAGGATTATTATACCTGTGGTATGTAATCGTTGTACCCATGTATAATGCACATCCTTATTTTTCCCCCAAAATTTTGGGCAAAACAGTGAATATTATACATGGCAAAATACAGTAAATTGTAGAGAAATCATTTGGAATAAACAACTGAACAGTAGCTGGAGAGAAGCCTTATACCTATGAACAGACAGAAGAAATCACTTCACCACAACGTGACTGGTATGGAGTGTGGAGGAGACGCAAGAGGGCTTTGTGGGCTCTCATGGGTGGCAGCTGAAGTGCCAGAGGGAAATTTTAGTGGCTGGGGGGTTCCCCTTGAGAAGTGTGGGGTCTAAGCCCCAAGATAGGCTCCCTAGCCTACCTTGGAAAGGAACCCAGATAACATCCAGCTGTGAAAAGTGGCAGGGTTTCTGTTGTCCAGGGAGAGATGGTTAGAGACACAGAGAACCTCTTAAAGGACCAACCCCCCCAAATTTGTTTGTAGCCACTTATTCTGGGCTCCGGCAAAGGGAGGGCAAAGTAGACACTTGAGGAGTCTGGGGATGGTGGCTTTGGGAAGAAAATGGAGGGAGCAACCACCAGGATCCCTGTTCTGAGTCATCCCCCATACTGCAGGAGCCATCTTGCTCAGGCAGAGCAGTTCCCTCCAAGTGGCATTAGCCTGAGGGGGGAGCAATAGCCCCGTCTACAGGAATTACTCTGGCCTACCCTGTGTGCTTAAGCCTGACAGCTGATTATAGATTGACTAGATTAATAACTGAAGGAAACAGCCACAAATTGTGGGTCACTGGTAGTCTTGAATAGGTTGCCTAGGGCCAGACAGGGACACCATCTGACAACACCAGGGGCAGATCCAGAAAGAGAGGATGGGGTAAACACTAGATTCTACTGAGATGAATTCCACTGCAGTCTTCAGGACTTGCATTATTTTCTCTCCTGCATAGTTTTTTAATATTCATTTCTTGTCCTTCAAATCTGTGCCTATTAGGTTACTAGTTTTTATGTTATAGTTTATTTCAAGTCTCATAATTTGCTCCTCCCTTCTTATTTTTGTTTTAAATTTTATTTTCTCTTTTGCTATGACTTATTTCCATTCCATACTCTTACTACTTCTACCCACTCCAGCCTCTCAAAACCATTTTTCTTATCATTAGTCTGCCATCTGCCACCTTGCTCACCTCTGTCCTCCAGCCACCACCTTGCTGTGAGTCTTCT